ACACACACACACACACACACACACACACACACACACACACACACACACACACACACACACACACACACACACACACACAAACTCAGCGGGATGTTGCGAGGCTCGCTGCTGCGAGGAGCGGGACACTGTGAGCTGGCTCACTGGTGTGGGGTCGGCGAGACAGCGAGACACCGCGGAACTCAGCCTGAGCACACACACAAACTCCCAGCCAGGCTGCGGGTGTGTGTGTGTGTGTGTTTCGGGCTGGGTTTAGCTGTGTCTCGCTGGGCTCACAGGGAGGGAGGGGGGCAGGAGCTCCAACAAGCCGTTTAGGACAGAGAGTGAATACACATACTATACAGAGATGCTGTATGAGAAACCAATGTAAGTTTGGAACATTGCACAATATAAATCTATTTTAGTTTACCTCAACAATGGAATTATGATCAGTAGAAATGGCCATGACATGGGACCTTTAAGGGGAAAGGCAATTTTAAATAAGCACCCTTTTTGTTAACTGCAAAATGAAAGTGATGAAGAAATATTCATAAAAATCATAATTAGTTATTATAATTTATAGTATTATAAAATAACATTTTGAAGCTAATGATTTGCACTTAAAAATAGTTTTAATAAAGGATATTTACTCGTAATAGATTTCTACACTGTGGTATTGCTACTTTTACTAAAGTGAAGACCTGAGCTGGTCCACCTCTGATCCCTGGAGTGTCAGGTTTCACAGTTTGGGAGGAGAAGGCTGTTTGTCCCTGAGCCTCTCTGTCCTCTTGTGTTCAGATGCGTGGCTCTGTTAGCGGCCAAGCCAGTAGCTCTCCCATTCCCACCATCACGGTAACAAGGCACCAGTCAGTAAGTAAACTTTATGCAAACCAGTGCATTGTGGGCTACAGTAGCTCCACATAGCCCCCCCTGATCAAACCCAATACTTACTACCCCTGCCCTTTCCAAAACCCAAATCCGTGTTTCCTCCTCAACCTCACCACGTCTGTTCAACCTCTGTTCTCGCAGCTGTGGCGTTGAGTGTGCATAAAGTGCTTCTTTGAAAAAAGTTTTGTGTCAGACTTAGAAGACAAAACGGCACATTATGTTGTTGTGTTTAATGTGACTTCCTCAGGAAACGTTGTCGTTGTTGTTTGCCGTTAGTTGAACAGTGGAGGTTGGATCTGTTCTGTTTCCCTTCATGGCTCTCTCGTGAGAAGACATTTGGTTTGCGCTTTCTAAGATGCCCATGTCTATAAGGCATTATAAACAAACTTATAATATGTTATTATCTGCTTATGAAACTATCATTTTAGTTTTAAGCACTCATTAATGTTCATAATGCTTTATAACAAACAAAAAAACATGATACACTTATCACTAAGCAATAACACCTCTTAAGTATATAATACATCATAATTGCTGGGCATTTTAGATGAAATTATTATTTTTCCACTGTACTTAAATCCAACAATGACCACTAAAAGTGAGTTATAATCACATTATGATGCATTATATCTGCCCTTATAGCTCAAGAGTTGTATTACTCAACCCAGAGCACTATTGATGATTCAGGGTCAAATAAATCACATTATAATGCATAACAAAATTCATTAAATGTATTACAATTATCTTTAAAAATAACTAATATACAAAAGAAATAGGTCAATAAGTGGCACTTAGAAATGAATATGATACTTGACCTTATAAGTCACTATTAAGTGCTTATAATGAGTTATGATTATAGGTAAATATCATTTTTAAACTATAGTTTTAAAGTGCTATATGCAGATTATAACACATACTAAGTATATCTATAATGCATTAAATACATGGGCAACATACAAAGTGTTACTAAAGTGTGTACCAAAATTTTGTTGTGCGGTTGACTCACAAATCTGACAAAAATAATAATTGTATGTACAATAGCTCAGGTATTAATGTTTATCTGTGACTGTTCCCTCTCAGTAAGCATGTTGTCTTTGGTTATGCCAATAAAAAGACGTTTCATAAGTAAATATGTTATTGATTAAAGATTCTCCTAGAGCTCTTCCTCCTTATCCCATCCATCACCCTTTATTCTTCTTCTGTTCCCAGGAGAGCTCGTCAGCACAGTGTCTGCAGCCTTCCAAGATCCACGTGCTGATCCTGGTTCTGCACGGAGGAAACATCCTGGATACGGGCGGAGGCGACCAGAACAGCAAGCAGGCCGACGTCAACACCATCAGCACGGCGTTCGAGGCAGTGATGCGCCTTCACTACCCCGCTGCGCTGGGACGCATCGCCATCCGCCTGGTGCCCTGCCCGGCCATCTGCGCCGAGGCCTTCTCCCTGGTGTCCAAGTAAGAGGAGGCACACGCATGTATTTCTGCAAGCTACAGGCATGCTGGATAGCCATTGTTGTTATTGACTGTGAGTGCTGTTTGCTTTTGATGGAAAAGATCCAGGTGCAGCTCAAAACCATCGCTCCGTCCTCCTGTGTTTTTGCTCTTCAAACTCTTATGTGCACTGCATGGATCTTAAAATTAATAATAATAATAAAGCTTTATTTGTATAGCGCTTTTCATACACCTGGTGCAGCTTAAAGTGATTTAACAAGAGACTAAAACCTTTGTGCACATATGTAGCATAACAACATGATATGACAGTTTAACCGTTTAAGAGACACAGGAAGTAAAAAATGAAATACAAAAATAAATAAATAAATAATCCCTCTCGGTAAAATAAAGGAAGACAAAATCAATAAATGAAATATAAAAACCTATAAAATAAATAAATAAACCAATAAATAAATAATAAAAATAAATAAATAATGAGAATGATAAAGGCTAAAATATTAAAAGACTTTCAACTTAAAAAGGGATTGTCGCTTATTAAACTGTAAAATAAACAATACAAGTAAAACGTATAAAATGAATAAAACAATATCAAAATAAATGAATAATAAAGATTAACAGCCCGTTAAAAAAGGGGGTGTCTCTAATAAAAAGCTAGTCTAAAAAGATGTGTCTTTAGCTGTTGGTTATAAAGTTCCACTGAGTTGAACTCTCTGATATTTCCTGGTAGGCTGTTCCACAGNCCACCTTATCACCTGAATCTCCTCCAAGAGCACCATTGTGGGGAGAGGCTCCTTATTTTCATCTAAAGTAACAGACAGAGAATCAGCACTTTGGAAACAGGGCTGAAAAGAGGGGATTATGGGTAATGCTACAATGATCTGTTTGGTGTTTCAGCCAATCAGAGACAGGCTCTGTATATATCTGAGACCTGTGATATATTGATGAAAAACAGAATAATAGGAGACCTTTAATGCACCGAACTGAACTCACGGCTGTAATGTTGTTCAGCTCGTTTCTCTCAGATCAGTATCTATGGCAAGGTCTGTCATGTAACGTTTAAATACCTTACTGTGTGGACACATTCATTTGACATCTGCACAGTTTCTTTGAAATAAATATAACATTATTTAAGATGCAAGAGCCACATCTTTAAAATTAGAATGTATTCAGATCCTAAAAGGCCAAATACAACACTTTGAAAGTACTTTGTTTAAAATCCCTGCGTTGAGAATGCTACTCAGGTTTAGATATTTGAGTATAATCAAGAAAATGTACTTCAAGTAAAAGTATTTATTTTTGAAGACATTCTGCGCATTTGAGAAGCTGAAAATGTGAAAAGCTTTTTTGGAAATATCTTCATCAGTTTTGCTCCGAGGTTGGCACAATGTCAGTTGGAAGTTAAATATTAAATGACCTCGTTCTCGTCTCTTTCTCTCCGCAGCTGAGTGCCACAGACCTCCAGGACACCATCAAATACATGCACGAGAACAAGAAATACAAAAAGGTACGCAGCAATAACATTATGACATTGTGTTTCTTTAGATCTACACACTCAGTGGCCGCTTCACCCGGCACGGCTGCACAATTTGGTGCATCACAATACAAGTATTTTCTTTTGCACTCATTGCTCATAACCCCCCTAGCATTGGGGTTGTAGTTAGTGATGGTGTGGTCAACAAAACATCCCTCAATCTAGTGTAACGGTTAACGATATATGGACATTTACTAAAGGTTTGAACTTATTGCAGGGCTGATTTCTTTATGCAGTTCATCATACAGGTGTATATAATAAAGTTATGTTTAGTATGTTAGCACAAGTGAACATAATGGGTGTTGTAAAGGTTTTTAAAAAGCTGTTATGATTTGCGTCTAATCGTTTTTAAAAGATCTTTCTGTTCTATTTCAAAACAGTTCAAACACAAAAGTCCTACACACAGAAAACTCTGTATTTGCATATGTTAAGAAACAGTTTTTGGCAGGTATACTTATTTCCTTTCTTTGCTCAGCATTGGATAAGAATATTGAAACCACTCTCAGGTCTGTACGGTAAATACGAACCTGCAGCCGTTAGCTTAGCTTAGCACAAAGAATGGTAACGGTAGGAAACAGCTAGCACGGCTCCATCGGAGAGCAACTCAAATCCACCACGTCTTAATCTGTCTCAATGACTTGTTATCATAACGTATTTTTCTTACAGTATAAAGGTCACAGATAAACCCAAGTCATGTGATTGTGACCCTGTGCTTGACATTCACATCATAACTCTTGTTTTTGCCCTTTTCTTTTGCTGACAGATGGTTTTGTACATCGAGGCATGTGAGTCCGGGTCGATGATGACCGACCTGCCTGCTGACATCGACGGTGAGTTCAACTTTGAACCTCATCAGACACTCTCCTGTTAACCTAAGACAGTGGTTCCCAACCTGGGGGGCGCCAAAGATCGCAGGGGGGGGGCGCCAGGCCTCAGATCATTTGAGGCCAAATATCATATTTAGACTTTTTTTTCTCACATTTTTTTACATATAATTTTAACGCAATACATGATTGTCACTAAAAGCCTTGTCTCTACATTACAATAAAAAAAAAATAATAATTGATTAATTAATTTGAATAAAAATTCAAGTTAGTAGCTATTAAAGGCATACAAAGACAGATATGTATAATTCTTTCTTTAATAGAAATGTTTCTTCTGCCCGTAAAGTGTCCAAACCAGGCTTTTCCGGATAAGCACATTTTTAAAACATAGTCATCGTCCATGCCGGTTTTCAGATTATTTGTCTGGTCTCCTCCATTTTGTAGATTATTTACGACTTTTGAATCCACATAAACACATCGGCAAAATCCGGCTTACCTTGAGCATGTGTTTTAAACAGTTTCATCCCTTTGTGAATTGTTTCCACTTGCGCCGTCCTTTAATTTATTCATACAGCGGGAATCCAAATGAATGAATCCTGAGTCCAATAACCATCAAAGTCACTCCAATATTTCTCCTTAGTTACGCTTTCATTGTCCTTTAACAAAATACTTCCCATTCATCCAGTCTGTGACATTAGTTGTAGCATTTTGAGACTTTGAAACTTTAATTACCGCTGTTGCCCCCCCCCTTGTGTGTGTGT